CTCACCCAGCCCGGCACCAAGCCTCCCCACGCCGCCCCCCCCGCCACCAAGCCCGCCGCCCAGCCAGCCCGGCCGCTCACAGGGGTACTCTGCGCATATCGAGGCCTCGGGGTTCACAACATTGTACTTGGACTGGCACTGCTCCCCTCCCGGGGCGTCGGCCCTGTCGGCATACGCGTACGCGATGCCCAGGGTGACGTTCTGAGGGCAGCCGTTGTGCAGCGTCATTGTCCACTGGGTCTGCTGGATGGGCGGCGGCGGGAGCGGCGAGGGCAGCGGCGTGGAGAGGCCCGGTGCTGGGGACGAGGAGGGGGACGGCACGGGGGAGAGGGAGGGGGACGGGGATGGGGATGGGGAGGGCGAGGCGTCCAGCTGGCGCAGCTGGCGGGCGTGGGAGCTGGTGGCGGCGGCAGCCGAGGCGCCGCCGTGTGCGGCATCCTGCATCGGAGCGCTGTGCCTGCGCCAGGGGAGCAGGATCTCTGAGAAAGCCACCCCGTGTGTCGAACCAAAGCAGCGCGCCTGCCTACGGCTGGCTCGCCGCCTCCTCCGGCAAGCGGCGGGCCCATGCATGCGCGCACGCGGCGGCGGCGGGAGCGGCGGCGGCAGGCCCTGCCCCACCTGCCATCGCCGCGCGATGCCCAGGGCCGCGCCTCGCACGCCAGGGCTAGGATAATGACGAGAAACGGGGTGGCGGGCCACCGCATGGCGTGCACCGCCTTCAGCCCAGTTTGCCCAGCTGCGCTGTCAGCTGCGCAGCACTTTGGCGTCCCGGGCTTTGCGGGGCGGGGGAAGTAATTGGGGGTGGAGCCCAGATAATGCGAGAGAGAGCCCTGAAACGTTCTTTCATCATCCCATAGTGGCCACCCACAGGTGGATGCTGCAGCGAAGCTGCCAGCCTGGGCCACCCAAGGGCGCAAACAGAGGCTGGCAAGGGCCCACACGCTTCCATGGCAAGGCAGCGCAGGCCGCATCGCCCGTTGCTGCGGCAGGCGGTCCCTGCTGGCCAGGAGCGCCGCCCCCGCCGCACCGCCTCGTGCTCTGCGCTTTCCCGTTTGCCCCTCCTGCGCTCCAACCTTGCACCCCGTCTCCTCAGTCTGCCGCGCTAAA